TCACTCTTGCTCAGGCTGGTCTCGAACTCCCGAGCTCAAACAATCTGCCCGCCTCGGCCTCCCAGAGTGCTAGGATTACAGGCGTGAGCCACCGTGCCCAGCTCCAACTTTCTTATAAAGGGTATCTAGAAGGAATAAAGGATGCTTCAGAACCCCCAACATTCATCTTCTTCCCTGGGTCTTAGGCAACAAACCACAGTGGAGGAAAAAGGGATTATAACAGTACTCTCTCTGAGAGACCTGGTGCTAAGTGTGTTTTATGCTAGGAACCACAAAACTCTGGGACGGGCACAACCTCAATGAAAGGGACCTGAGAAACCAGATGCTTAGGTCTGGTCCACGCTCTGAAGTTTAGGTGTGGAGGGAATACCATGAGTATTTCACACAGCCCAGCTAGTCTGTAGGGAGAAAAGCAGATAGAGATTATGGGAAGAGGACATAGACACGATGACAAAATGTGCCTCTGTCAGGTACACCTCACCTGCTGGGTATCCCAAAACCCAAGTGAGGCAACCTTATATGGGTACAGATCTAAGTGAGGACAGAAAGTTTGACAGTAAACAAATGCTTAAGAGCTGAGGGCAGGATCCAGAGAGGAAGAAGGAATGAAATCATATTATTTTTGAACACTGATTGTAAGAGCTGTGATTTATGCAGGCTGTTTAAAGAGGGGAAATGTATATTGGAGTCAGACTGCCTGAGTTTGTATCCTGGCTTTACCACTTATCAGCTATAGAACAAGCTATTACACACTATGCCTTAGTTTCCTATCGTTCCTATAGTACAGGAATAATAACAGCACAAACCTCATAGACTTCATGAGGATTGAGAGAGTTAAAATACGTAAAGTACTTAGAAAATTGCCTGGCACCTACTTTGCCTTTCACTTACTGGTTCTCTTTACCTCACCTTCACCAAAGGATTATAAATATAAAAGATGAAATTAAAGCTAATCTATTTTACTTCTTGTTAATCAGCTGTGGCAAAAGATTTGATGAATTTCAACTCAAACAAATGAGACTTGAGGATTGCTCTAAGTTTTCACTTGAACTGTCTCATATTATGTTTATATTTCTACTGTCCACCACTTCCAGGAATAATTTAGAATGGATTTCCTAATACTTTTGGAAACAAAAATATTTGAAGTAAAAAAACTAACAGATGGGTAGAGCTGTTTTGAATAAACACAAGGAAAAAAGAATTCAAAAATTACTATACTTATACCACAAATAAGAATTTTATATTAGAGAGGAGTCAAATGCAAAGAAAGACTGTTATGCTTATAAATGGATTCACAACATAATTAGCACCCTTAAATATCTGCTAAATTAAATATAAAAATACACAGAAAACCTAAACAGTTATGCTAACACATTCAATAATAGAGAATAAATCAAAGGAAGAAGTTGAAATGATTTTTAATTGTATATTTTAAAAGTATAGTTAGAACATTTCCAATACATACAGAGAAAAAGAGAAAGTCATGTATTTATTAAGTCAAAGAATAAGAAAGAAAACAGAAAAAAAAGGTTTAATACTATTCATTTTCCTATAAAATAATCTCAAATTAGAAAAAAGTGGGAAATTGTAAGCCTTCACTTTAAGTATTCAGTTGATTTTTACTAAAAGATGTAACCTTCCTATAACTCAACTAAAGTGGGAAGAGTTAGCAAATGGCTCAAGAAAGGGGGCCCATCATCTACGTACTAGTTATATTCACTAAGTGGAAAATCATCTGAGCTATAGAAGGACCACGAAAAGCAATCTAAATGGGGTACCACTATTTAAAGGGTGGAAGGCAAAGTAGTTGTCCTGGACAAGTTTTGGTGTGTTGCCTGACTTTTATCTTGGATACAGTACTTGCAAACATAATCATGTTATTGATTTAAGAACACTCAAAGGAACGGATTACATAATAGTCAGAATGAATTTGCATGGCACAGATTGTACTACACTAATACAACAGCTTTTTTGAAATAACAGAGAGTAGATAAAGGGAGTTGGGTAGATGACATTTATCTACATTTCACAATGCTTTCAACCCTGTACTGCATATCAGCATGCCGAAAAATTAAGAGATGAATTGTATAAATGATATGACAGAGTGAATTACTAGTGTCTTATGGGTTGAAAATAAAGGATTATTATTCTTTCAGATATGGAAATACATACACACACATACTGATGTATATCAGGTTTCAATTTGGAGCTAGACTAATTATGTGAAATAAAATAAATGTAGCTTATACATTAATCATTTTCAGGGAAAGGTTAATTTGATAGCATTCAAGTATCTAGACAACCCACAAGAAAAAAATTTTGGAAGCAAGCAACAAGAACAACAAAGAATCTAGGAAGCAATTTACTTTTACCTATAAAAAATAAGTAAAGCAAACTTACTGAATGAAAAACACACCTTTTATCTTTTGAAATTAGTGTCATATAGGTTATTTTACCAGTAGAATTGTTCTCCAACATCTGCGATAATAATTTTCTTATTTTTTGGATACACAGAAAATTCAGTGAGCTCAGGTAAGATAAATCCATATTAGCAAATATCGATAGCATTTTGACATTCTTTCGTTTCATTTTATATGGCTGTAATTCGGGACATAACAAAGTTGGGTTATACTTTCAATGAGATTATTTGGAATCCATTGTAAGCTCAAGATAAGCTACTTAAGTATAGGTTTAAAAGAATTAAGGGAAACTATTTATTCATTTATTCATTCACCATGCAATAACTCAAAAAACTGAGTTTCTATTATGTGTTAGATACTAAGTCCTCTAGAGTTTATACTCTAGTTAGGATGATAGATTTGTAAAGATGCTAATTAAAACAGCTATGATTGGAAGAATATGCTTTTTCAACAATTCTCAGGTGTTAAATGGAAAAGGTACTATATATCTATCACAAGCTAAGTACAAGGTCAGTTTGACTGAGTGAAAAGTCTAAAATAAAAATTACTTTAGAAAGAATAACAATGTTCAGGAATCTATACTTAAATTCTTAAAAAAGTATCATTTTAAAGATGCTTGGACTAACTTAATGAAGAAAAGCATTAGAAATATCAATTGCAAACATTTAAATGAGGGGTTCTTAAGTATTAAAAAAGTTTCTTTCACTAGGACGGTATTTATGTTACTTTTTTCATAAAAATAAATCACCTATCAATTCCAATATCTGTGGTTACTATCAGTCCCATTCATTTTCAAATGATTATGACTCCAATTAAGATATGAATTAATGAGATTAGGCTAATAATTACTGTAACATATCTTCACTGTGTTGGTTGGTAATAAGTACTACACTTGTGATTTACAGTACCACAGTGTTTTGTAAGGGCCACTATGTTATTAACACAGCAGTACTTAAAACACTATAATTTGCTTAGACTGCTTTGCATTTAGTATTATATCTATTTGTACTATGGGCATACCATAAGCATAACTGAAATGAGATAGATTGCTTCTACTAAAAATGCCAAGATGTGCATTTTTGGAAGCCAAAAGAAGAGAATTCTACTGAGGATTCTTGCCATTGGAATTCCATTTGTTTTCTCAGTATAAAATTAGTTGATCCTGGACAAGAGCACAAAGTCAGGATTTCTGGGGGTCAATAAGGAAAGAACATTATGCTATATATGTACAAGAACACTACATTTATATAAGAACACCATACTATAAAATGTATGTGTAAATTCATCCACATTTAGTTTGAATGTATTTACTTGTGAGGGTTCTGTCTCCTACATCCACAGAAGTTTTTTTTCTTTTTTTGGATGGGCTTTGAAGACTTGGCTCTGATAGGATGCTTCTTTTAAGCATCCTAAAACATGATACTCAAACGTTTGAGGTTCAACTGGATCTCAGCTTCCATTTGGAGACTGTGAGTGGAAATTTTTTTCTGGTTGTTGTAGTAAAAGAGACATATGTACTAAAGGTAAAAATTTCAACTTTCAGATTAAGATAATAGCACTCAAAGTCCAAATTTGGGGATACTTTATTTGGCTTCAACTTTCTGAAAGTTCACAAGAGGAAATAGTTATTCTGCTAAATTAGCCAGTAAAGTGACATGATTGCCAGTCCAAATGGATCATCAACTTAACTCACTGAGAAAGATTTGCCTGAATTTTGTTTTAAGCACCGTAATTCACAACAGTATATGCATATAAACCTCTGTGAAGCAAAAAGGTAAATTTTCACTTACACAAATCACAGCAAACTAAAGAGGTAATAAAAATTTATTAGGGGAGATAAAAATGTGCTTGTTTCCATAATATTTTAGGGAGATGGCCTAAATGTTATTAAAAGAAAATATTTAATCCTTAAATATTAAAACACAAATTTATTAATTTGAATTATGTCTATTTCCAACACTTCAGACTTTATTGTTCTCTCTTAACAGCTTTTTAAAAAAGTTTTGTTGACATGAGGACATTTCTTCATCACTGCTAAAATATTTCAAAATCTATGGATAAATTCAATCCATTTCTATGACTGACTTTGATAATTTGTTAATGGTGAAGATAAAAGTTAGAAGGAAACAAACCAACATCAGCGGTACTATCCTCCCAATTCCCAGAATAGGACGCTTATAAAATAATTCTATGCTAGCAAACATTAGCATCCAAGACAATCAATATAGAATGATATTGTGTCATAGTTTAGGTTCATGAAGGAACATGAGCTACCCCTAAAGCATTAGATTATATTCTATGGTCTAGCCAGGAAACTGAGCCAAATAGTAACACCTCAGAGAAAAATGAACACAAGCCTTTACCTTCCTCCTTTCTTCTCTTTGCTTCTTCCTCATTTCTTTCTTTGGCTTTCAATGCTTCATCAGCTTTTGCTGAAACAAAAACAATGAAATTTCTGTGTTTATTTTATATTCATATTTTAAGTGAAAATATTGGGGAAAGGGAATAGAAACTCATTTTCTGTGAAGCAATCTGAAGAAAGAAACAAGGCAGCTGAAAATCTGAAATACATATTTTACATTCTTTGTTCAGAATATTTATTTAGAATCTTTAAAACTAAGTTCAAGATAATCTATGTATAAAGGAATCTTGCTTATCTTGAATTAAGCAAGATAAGTTTAAAGGATGACATATGAATTGGGAAAAACTGTTGGTCATTGAAAGTCATCTGATTTGTCAGTGTAATGCGTTTGTTTTAAACTTTGGAGGAAAGTTCTTAAGCTGCAATTCACATTTTAAATACAAGAAGCTTGCAATATCTATGGAACAGTATCAAATTAGGTAGCATTTTTTTTTCATTGCACATCATAGTAGTGGTTCTTTTATTCATGTTATGACAGCATTTGGTAAAAAGAATCTTTTTCCCTCTAGAAACCTCTTCCCTTATTACTTAATTATCTACTAGTTGCTCAACTGCAGGGGTTTTCAAACACTTTACTACAGATGTTAAAGAAGATTAAAAATATACAGCACAGTAACAAGGGACTATCAATATACTCTGTAAATTAATTAAATTTCTGTTCTAGCACATCATTTATTCCAAAGCATTAATGTCTCAAAGGAGCGATTCTCCTTTATTGCTGTCTCACTGCCTGATGAGTGAACTAAGTGAAAATAAGTCTCTAATAGCATTATAGTTGATGAAATATTAAGTTAAAAAAGAATTGCCTCGTCAAAAGAAAAAGAATCAAACTGCGCCAGCATTAAACTTTGGATGAGCCTTTATTATAATGATAGCAGCTATGTAAACTGTGATTTAAAAAATAAACGTACTTACTCTTCAGTTTTTCGCTGCATATATTTTTCCTACCCCAAATCAACACATCCTTTAGAAGTATAAAACCCGCTTAAAAGGGAGATTTATAGAAAATACATGACATATACAAAACTTTTTCTTCAAAGTTTGATTTTTCTTCATCATCAATATTGACACTTTCTTATAGAATA